CCTTCTCCTTCTCCTTCTCCTTCTCCTTCTCCTTCTCCTTCTCCTTCTCCTTCTCCTTCTCCTTCTCCTTCTCCTTCTCCTTCTCCTGCAAAGGGATGGTGTCAGCCCAGGGAGGGCAGGGAGTGGGGGGAGCCGGGGGTGGGGAATGCCCGAAGTCCCCCTGGGACCCCAGACCAGGTCATGGAAGAGCTGGGGAGGGCATGACCGTGGTGGGATTTGGCCTCAGATGGAGACAGGAGCTGCACTGACCATTTTTTTGGAAGCTTCAAGGGACAAGGCAAAGCACAGGGAGATTTCAGCAGTGTGCATAGATCCCTGAGAACTGGAGAAGTTTTCTCTCTGTCCTTTTACATGTCCTCCCGAGCATTAGGAGCACTGGACCCTCTGCTGTCCTCCATGGGAAGCGTTCTCCTGGAGCCCTTCACTCAGCCATGGCTCATCCATCTGCTGAGGGGCTTGGGGACACCCCCGTGCTCTCCTCTTGGGGTGTCCTCCCTGCCCGCAACCCAGGAGCTCCTTCTTCTGTGTCAGTGCTGCTTCCCATTGGATCGGTGCTGGGAGCTGCAGGCACAGGTCACACACACACTGTCCCCTCGAGCCCTGGGATCTCCCTTGTGCTTTTGATTCTGGGCGGGGTCCAAGGCTCTGCAATAACATTTCTTGCTGTCCGTGCTGGTAGCAAATCTCTGGGGAGTGGGGGGACCATTTCCAGCCTTCCAACCCCTCTCCATCTCCCTGTTCATCAGGAAACCACTTTTTGTTCCTCTTCTGTGGGATAAACCAAGAAACACAGAATTCTCTACTTTCCCTAAGGACTCTCTGTAAAGGAGAATCATCTACTGGTTACCTGCTCTTCACAGCTCCAGATTAGGTTCCAAAAGCTGTCCCCAGCCAGCCATTTCTCCTAGACAAACAAGATGACCAGGTTACTGTAAAAGCAGCAGGAATGGGGACTCCAGACACGCTCCCTGCCCAGCACCAGGGCTCAGATCTGTTTCCCTTGCCCAGGAAAGGCTCTGCTGACACTCAGCCTGTACCTGCACTTTTATTGTTGTCCCCAGGTGACTCTGAGGAAGCTCTGGCTGTGCACTGGGGGTCAGTATTGTTGCGTCCATGACACTGTGCCCAGCGTGCTGTGTGTCACATGAGCCTGGCAACCCCTAAGGGACTGTGACATTTGTTAAGAGATTCATGTTAATCATAAAAGTATTGGGGTTTGTATGAACCAGAATACTAAGGTCTGAAGTGAAGCAGGGAGGCTTGATAGAGGAAAAGAGATTATTAAATAATTCTGTTTTAAATCCCCCTGTTATGAATATTATGTTTTCTAAATAATTTGTATCTACTACCAGTTTGTAAAATCAGACTTTCCAATAGTTTGACAGATTTTGCAAAATCTGACTTCCTGCCTTTGTTTTATCAATGATTACCTATCTACAAAGACCAGAACTTCCTGATTTTTGCTGGTTTTATCTACCAAGACCAGATGGTATCTGTGGGACTGACTCCCAGAGACTTTACATGGATGTTTATTTCAGCCACCACTGCTCGCCTGGCAAAATTATGACGGGAAAAAACCAAAAATTATTGATTACAAACAGGGACCATGCTATAAGAAGAAGCTGCAAACTGAGGTTCAATGCAGCATGGAGTGGGCGGTGACCTCTCACATCTTCCCAGTGCTGCTTTGCTCTGTCTGCATAAAATAAAGCAATCTAAATTTTGCTGAATATCAAGACTTTTTGTTTCTGGTTTATAACAGGACCATGATCCAGCAGCAGCAGGAAAACTTCCCTAGTGAACCCCCAGAGGATGCTACACCTTTTCTTGAGCCATTTGCTGTCACTGCCTTCCCCAAGCCTGCCTTCAGTGGTGGTCAGAGTCACGGCACTACCATGTCCTGCTTCCCTGCCTACACAGCTGGGGTCCCCTTGCACAGAGGGGCTTCCCAATGACTCAGGCATCCCTGCCAATTCCCCCAGAAAGGCTGTGGCATCCATCCCCTATGGTGCTCTCCTTGAACTATGGGGGAGCAAGTGTCCCTGTCCCTTCAGGGCTTGGTTGATGCCAGCAGCAGGTCATTCTAGTGGTGGCTACTCTACACTGGTGGTCACCACTCCTCCCTAGTGGTCACTATTCATCCCTAATGGTCTAGTTGTCAGGATTTGGCACACTCATTACTGCAGCCTGGCTTTGATTCCCATCCAGGGAAAAGATTCCTACAGCCACCACAGATCCCAGTCTTTTCCTGGGTGGCTGTGCTGTCCTGGAGAGCTCTTGGGGTTCAGTTAAGGGTTCAGAAGCTCCCAGTGTGTGGGGCTGGGTCAGGGTGGGATGAATTTTGGAGGGTGTCCTCCTGCTGCCATGAGCCTGCAGCTGCCAGTGGGGCAATGCCCCTGTGGTGGGTGTGGGGAGAGTGTGTGACAGGGATGTAGGGGGCTCACATGCCAATGTCCTGATACCTCCTCCGGGGAGGGGTTTGACACTGTCTGATGCAACACTGGGTGCTGTGATTGATGGTTTATGTCTCCTTCTAATGCCATGACCACGGTTTGGCCCCATTTCTCCCAAATGCAAATGCTTTGTTGTGCCAGTCGGGAGTCGTTGGAAGGGAGGGAATTGGCATGATAAAAAACATTACCCCACCTCCACAGGATCTGCTTCTTATCAGTCTTTGCCCTTATCTCTTTAAAATAATTGAGGCATTAGTCTCTGGCTATCAAGGACACAATAAATCACAGAGCTCACCCAGTTTGTTTAAACGAAGTTCAGTCTTCCACTGCAGAGTGAGGGAAACAGGGTGATGGGCTTTTGAGAGCAGGATAATGTGCTGCAGGGAGCAGGGTGATGGGCTTTTGAGAGCAGGATGATGTGCTGCAGGGAGCAGGGTGAAGGGCTGCAGGGAGCAGAGTGCTGCAGAGAGCTGGACGAAGGGCTGCAGAAAGCAGGGGGACACATTTAGAAAAAGCAGGGTGATAGTTCTAGGGAGAGTGTGACACCTCTGTAGGGACCAGGATGACAAGAGGTAGCAAGCAGGGTGACACATCTACAGGGAACAGTGTCACACAGCTGTAGGGAACAGGGTGCCATGGCTGTATGGGGGTGACATGCTATTGCAGGTTTTCTTCCTGTGATAAGAAGAGGTGCAGGGCTGCTCCCCTGAACAGCCTCCTGACCATCTCCTAAAGGCAAAGAGTCCTTGGAGATCAGGGCCAGGATGGGAACACAGGGTCCCTCGAGGGAGTGTGACTGCCCTGTGTGTCTGTCTGTCCCTCCTGGAGTGTGACTGCCCTGTGTGTCT